GGCCCCGCCCCGCCCCGCCCCCTCTGACACCGACTGCGCTGATCTGGGCCTTGGCTGCGGGTCAGGCGGCCCCGCTGGGCCTGCAGTCCTCCCGCCCCCGGGTTTCTGCCGCCTTTCCAGGACGGTGGGCAGCCCAGCCCGGCCGGCAGTGGGGGGCAGCTGGGAACGGGCCCGCGTCTGCTAGGCCAACGCTGGAAGGCTAAGGAGCGGAGCGTGGGGGGCCGCGCAGAGCCTGGGCGCACCCCTCCATGCCCTGGGGCCTCGACGCTGAGCCGGGGTGGCGGGCGGGCTAGGGAGCCGGGCTGGGTCCTGCTGCTCTGCAGCCTCCCGAAGGAAGCTGGTGACAGACCGCCATCCCGCCCCCGCTGCCCGCCGCAGGTCGGTGCAGCCCCACGGCCATTTCTGAGCGCGGGCGCCTCCCCGCCTGGTGGGCGCGGCCTCGTCCCCAGGGGCAGCACTGGCAGACCCAGCAGTCCACGCCCGCTGCTCTGGCCACGGCCTCCCTATTGTGCCCGCCACCTGCTCCTCTGGGACAGCTCCCGCAGACGTGGGCTTTGGGGGCTCGGCTTACTTGGGGCGCGAGCAGGGCAGCCGGCTCTCGGGTTTCCCGCTCAGCCCTAGCTCGGGTATTGCCCAGCTGGGGCAGGCGTGGGGCAGCCGCTCCCGCAGGGCCCTGGGAGCCGAGATCGCCGCAGCGGGTGGGCCGGGCAGCTGGCCCCCCGCAGGCCCCTGGCAGGTGGAGCTGGTGTCGAGTCCAGCACCCCCACGAGGTGGGGCGGCTTGGCCCGGGCCTCGCTGTGGAGGCGCAGCAGTGAGGGTGGCTGCGTGTGACCGCGCTGCGAGACCTTCAGGACGGGCCTGGGCCCGGCAGCCGCTCTGTGTGGGGGTGCAGGCTTACATGGGGCTGAGAGCATTGGGCTGGTCCCCAAAGTAGCAGGAAAGGTGGTGGAGCACGTGGGTCGGGCGTCCCGTCACCCACTCGCCTCGGTGTCTCCGACAGAGCAGGTGCTGCCCGGGTCCTGGGCGCACACCTGCCTCGCCGCGCGGCCCCGCAGGGCCCCGGGCGCCGG